TTTATGTAAATATAATTATGCTTGAGCACTATTACATCACTTGCTAATCACATTGAAATTGACGCTTGAGAGCGACCATAGCAGGCATTATAATAATTTACCGTTATCAATTCTTAAATTAAAAACCGTAAAATATTGTGCCAAACTATAATTCAAATTCTTTAAAAATATTTAATAATTTCTCCATTATATAATAAGTCATTAATAGCATTAATAATTGCTTTATAAATACGAACTTATATTTTGTCCTAAAATGTATATGATGATTCACTGTATTCGTAATTACACGTTTAAATTTTAAAATCATCTTTTCAAAACTTGAAATATTTCAAATTCATTAATAAAAGATCCATAATATCATCTCTAAATTGTTTTTCATAATATTCTGAATCGTGTCCATAACCCATATATTATTATCATCATTTTTCATAAAGGAATAATCGCCGAAACTGGAAACTAACAAAAAATGTCAAATTACTCTCTTACTATAATAACAGAATTATGTAAATTTGAAGTTTTTGATGAAAAAATAAAACTATTAGAAGTTGTTAGCCAATGATTTTTATCATTAGATGACCAGATTAATGGAAAGTTACAACAATCATTGGGGCGATTCTACTGCATCACTACTTCCACCTCAACACCAATTTTACAATGATATTTATTGATATTACAAGCATGCTAGCATTCTGTTTTAGAGTTGCTCCTTTGACTGTTAAAATATTATCTAATTTCAAGTAATGAAATACGCGGTGTAATATTAACAGAGGAACCTTAATTTTATAATTTTGATTATTTAGTGCTTTTCTTTTTTATTCGATGTCAAATTTTGGCATTTTAGCATTAAAAGTTTCGTATAATGGAAAATATTTCGATAGTTTAATTCGAACGAAATGCACAATAAATTATTTTCATAATTTAAGTATTATTATACTTATTACGCATCTCAGAATCGAATTTCATTCTGGCGTCTCTTCGAATCTGACTCACGACATATTCATCATGAGCCACAAAAAGGAAATTGCCATTAAAACATTTTGTTTTATTGCGTTGTATTTGCTAGTCCTACTTTAGTCCAGCCACAGACCCAAAATTTTATTGCCGTGTTGTATTTAATAAGGTTTTGTGGATTTGCATTATCAGAATTATATCAATAGAATATATGAACGATGCAAAAAGACAACTTTAAAATCTTTCTAAATACAAGTCCGTATAACAAAGACTAAAATCCACAAATTTGTATATTGTACAATGTATTTTTATATGTTTAGTATCAGACTTACTGCTTACTATATTTACCAGTATAATACTTCGTTATATGTGAGAAGTGCCAAACATGTCATATGCAATCTCGAAAATTTAGATATGTATATGTGAATGTCAACCGATATGAAACTTCTTTATTAATATGCAAAATTTCAATGTGAGTTAATGACAAATATAAAAATGGACTAGCATTTCGTGATAGACATTGTCAAAATATTATGCAATCATCAATCTATATCCAAGTATTTAATACCCTTTAATCTTGTTATTTATAAAAAAAATCTTGAAATAATAAATTGCTATATTATCAATATTATCAATACAGATTTTTTTGCTTGGATTAAGTTATTGATTAATCCTAAAATTTTCAGACTCTGAAACGATTTGCTTCATATCAATAAGTTTAGAAGTATACATCATGTTATCATGTTTTTGTGAGGTAATTGGCAATTCCTTGATTGTTTTATCAGCTTCTAAAAATTGCTGTTTGATCTCTTCATCTGAATCATATGAATCGATACATTGTTTGTCTAATTTGACATTACTATTATTGACAGCTATAGATTTTTTCCATTTTTTAAGTTTATTAAAAATCCTAGCAGCATCAAATCTTTTGTTCAAATCTGATTTAATATTACTATTGTGGGCGACTACAATGTTTTTCCATTTTTCAAGTTTATTAATAATCTCAACAACCGTAGGTCTGTTTTTCATATCAGAATTAATACATTGTTTGGCTAATTTGACATAACATTTTGGTGTCCTTATAATAAATTCTAGTCGTAACCCATGACAAATCATTGCCGCTAATTCAGCATCAAAATTGTAACCATCGAAAGGTCTTCGTCCAGTTAATATTTCTATCATAATAATTCCAAAACTGTAAATATCAGCCGCTTGAGTGAACTGTTCTCCTTTCAAGATCTCAGGTGCTAAATATGGCAAAACTCCATAAATCTGACCATTCTGTTTTTCATCAACCGATATTGATGAACCTAAATCAATATAAGCTTCATATTGTCCTTTTAGTAAAATATTACCAGGATGTAAATTTCGATGTATAAAGTTTTTAGAATGAATATTTGATAAATCATTAATGATATCGCATAATAATTTTAGTTTAACTTTCCACTCCAATTTAAATATATCAACAAGATTTTCACGTAATGATCCAAATTCTGCGTAATTTAACACTAAAATAAAATCTCCGCTATTTTTATCCATTGATATGCCAAAATAATTCCCAAGCTCATGATACGCCTTTAACTAAAAATAGATAAATTATCAGATATACAATTAATTCGTAAACAATATAAACTTATGTATTAAAAAAAATTATACCTCGTTTAAAAAGAGTTGATTATTTTTATGCGAATCTTTTATTATCTTGATTGCAACATCTTCATACGTTTCATATTGTCTTTTATATGATGTTTTATACACTACGGAAAATCCACCTCTACCTACTTCTTCAATGTTTCTAAAAGTATCGTATTCTATCCAACTGAAATAGTTATGATATTCACATTCATGTTGAGTAACAGCAGATTTTAAATACCATTCAAATGCCAAATCCTCATTCTTTTCTACTCCTATCCCCATCTGATAACACTCTCCAACACCATGCATTCCACAACAATCTCCATATTCGGCACTTTTTAAATAATATTCAAAGGCTTTTTTTTTCATCCTTTTCAATTCCAATTCCATAATGATAACAAACTCCAACATTACATATCGCAGCAATGTTACTCATCTCCGCAGATTTTTGATAATAAATGAATGCCTTATGTTCATCCTTTTCAACTCCAATTCCTTTAAAATAACAACATCCAACATCATTTACTCCAATAGCATTACCCATATCTGCAGATTTTTGATAATAAATAAATGCTTTATGTTCATCCTTTTCAACTCCAATTTCACATCGATAACAATATCCAACATTATATACTCCATTAGAATTACCCATCTCTGCAGATTTTTGATAATAAATAAATGCTTTATTTTCATCCTTTTCGACCCATTTGCCATGCTCATAACAAATCGCAAGAATGACTTGAACCATAGGATCGAATTGATTATTTAAGCAGTATTTGATAATATCATTCGGATTCTGCTTTTTTTTTACTAGAAATTGTTCTAAGGTGTCAAGAATTGAATTGTCCCATTTGCCTTTCAAAAATTCTTCATTATACAGCTTATACATTTCTTTAATGATTTCATCAAGAAAATCCTGAGATTTATCTTCTAGATATAATTGATTAACTTCACTGGACATTTTAGCATCATCTAAGGGTTTGTCGATTTTTCTGGTCGCAATGAAAGAATACATTACGCATAGAATTATCAAATTTATTTCTGCATTGCTGTATTGAAGATATGTACGTACGTACGTACGTGTGTATCAGATATTGCATTGCGTAACGTAACGTTCATTTATTCCTTTCGGTGCGATTATCACATGCGCATTGTAACGCTTTTAATGATGCCTCTAAATAAATGTGTTAACACTTTTAGGCTTTGAATAATCAAAAGTTTTCTAGCTCAAACATTTACTTTCTATATACTTTTTTTTTTTTTTTTTTTATTCTTTGTAGTTTTTTTAAAAGAGTATTTTAAAACTATAAAAAATGAATTAAATTGATTTAAGCAGCCAATCATATGAAAGCCTTTCTATGAATTGACAATAACTACAAATAATTTAATACGTTAAATTAGCCCAGAAAATTGCGCTGATATACACTACATATTCTCAATAAAAAAAACAGTTCTAAGTTTAAGATCTAGCAATATAATCCACAATATAATATATCACGCGTGCAGTACTTTTAAGACTATATATGACAAAAAAAACAGTTTCACAGTTTTAACTAGTGTATGCCAGGAACGTTCATACGTACAGCTCCCATGTCATAATGATATTTTAAGTACGCACCAAGTTTACAATAAACATAAACATAGCATGAGGTACTAATAAGATTGGCATTACATAAATTACATTTTTACGTTGCATGAAATTACATTGTTACTTACGAAACTGTAATGTAACTTTACATTGAATAGTGCATTGTCACATGATAATAGCACCAGCGTTACAAAAGTTTTGCCAAGAATAATAATAAAATTATTCAAATGATCAAAATTGCATGTAATTTTGATTCTGAAAATTTCGCAAATTTACGTAATTTGCCATCTGCTGCCAAATAAGTACCATTTATATTCTGATAAAAAATTTTAAATGGTAAGTAATGGATAATAATGATGATAATAATAATCTGAATGTAATTTATAATATTATAGCTGAAAAGAAATAAAATATGTTTAAATTAATTATGACAAATACCATTAATAAAGTGATACAATAAAATATAATGTGATAACTGTCTAGATTATAACTACTGAACTACATGTTATTTTTCAAAATTTCGCTTTTCTAAGTATTCATCTAAACTTTCAAAACTTTCGATATTAAAGGTGCTGTCGTAAGCTGCTTCAGCAATATTGAACTCCAAACATTCATGCAGATTTTCTATACTGTTAGTATTATAGTTTATTGATCTACTAATATATACTGCTTCGGGGTGCATAGTCGCTGATTCTCTATGAACAATATTGGCTTTTTTGAATTTTAGCCAAATTTCCTCATTCACTTTCCAAGATTGAATAGTTTCATAGATTTCTAAGGCTGATGGGCGTTTCTCTGGGATGTTATCCCAACACTTTTCCATAAGATTAATATAGCAGTCTGGTGTACTTTTGGCAATATTTGGCCTTACTCCCTTACAAATGTCTAACAAAAGTTTAGAATCATGCTCTCTATCTGAAAATGCTAACGTGCCAGAAGATATTTCCCACATTATTATGCCAAAAGAATAAATATCAGTTGCCAGAGTGTATGATTTGTCAAATATAATCTCGGGCGCCATGTATGGAATAATTCCACATACCCCTCCAGATTTGGCTAATGCTCTATTAATTGATTCGGCAAGTCCTAGATCACCAATATATGCAGTATTATATTCATTTTGCAATACGTTTCCACTATGCAAGTCTCGGTGAATAATATTATTAGAGTGGATTAGCTGAAGATCTTGAGCAATAAATAATATTATATTTACTTTCTCTTGCCATTCCATTTGTGCGATAATGTGAAGATTCTGACGTAAAGAACCCTTTTGTGCATATTGCATGACTAGCATGTAATCATTTGTTGCCTCATCTTTTGATATTCCATAACAGTTCAACAATGTAGGGTTTTTACATCCAATATCATAAAATACCTTTAGCTATATAATAAATATTAGTAAATAAACTTATATATGTACTGAATGTACTGAATGTTCTAATATTTACCTCTTTTAAAAGTTCCTCACAATTATCATGTGATCCATGGAGCAATTTAAGTGCAACAGCGTTTGCAGTACCATCATCATCCCATTGAGCCAAATATACAGTCGAAAATCCACCCTTTCCGACCTTTGAGACAATTTTTAGATTACTAGATGGGATCCATGATATTAAATATTTATTTTCTTCTAAAGCATTTTCTAAAAAATCATTAATATAAGAACTTTCACATTGATAAGATTCATTGTTATTTATGTTAACTTTTAATTTTTGTATCCATTCAATAGATTTTGATTGTTTGTTATTTATCTTAACTTTCGATTTTTTTATCCATTCTATAGCTTTTTCTTGATTTTGAGATGTTCCAATTCCATTTCGATAACACATTCCAACTAAAAACTGGCCATCGGAGTTCCCATTTTCAGCACACTTTAGAAACCACTCAAATGCCTTCTCTTCATTCTTTTCAGTTCCTATACCATTTAGGTAATGAGATCCAACGCTTAGCTGTCCAACTGAATCTCCTCCTTCAGCAGATCTCAGATACCATTCAAACGCTTGTTTATAATCTTTAGAAATGCCAAAGCCATTAATATAGCAATGTGCAAGGAAGATTTGTCCTTTTGTATTTCCACTCTTAGCAGATCTAAAATACCATTCAAATGCCTCTTTTTCATCTTTAATAACATATGTTCCATGACGGTAGCACATTCCAACTATAGCTTCTCCAACAGAACTACCACTTTCAGCAGATTTCATGAACCATTCAAATGCCTTCTTTTCATCTTTAGAAGTACCAACATTATATAGGTAGCAGAGTCCAACTACGGATTGCCCTTCAGAATTTCCACCTTCGGCAGATTTCAAATACCATTCAAATGCTTTCTCTTCATCCCTGGAAGTTCCTATGCCATTAAGGTAACAATTTCCGACACTGAATTGTCCATTAGAATATCCACCTTCAGCAGATTTTAAATACCATTCGAATGCTTTCTTTTCATTTTTGAAAATTCCTATTCCGTGTAAGTAACAATTTCCGACATCGAATTGACCAATAGAGTTTCCGCTTTCAGCAGATTTTAAATACCATTTAAATGCTTCCTGTTTATTTTCAGAAATGCCTATGCCTATGTTATAGCAATTTCCGACTTCGCGCTGTGCATGATGATTACCACCTTCAGCAGCTTTCAAATACCATTCAAGTGCCTTTTTTCCATCTTTAGAAATTCCTATGCCATCCCGGTAACAATATCCAACATTGAATTGTCCAGTAAGATTTCCATTTTCAGCAGATTTAAGATTCCATTCAAATGCCTTCTCTTTATCTTTAGAAACACCTATGCCGTTTTCATAGTAATATCCGACCGTGGCCTGACTATTGGAATTTCCACCTTCGGCGGATATTAAATAACATTCAAATGCTGTGTAATCATTGTTGTTTGAGTAATAATTTCCAAGCATCGCTTGCGCCTTGGAATGTCCGCCTTCAGCCGCTATCCCATACCAATAAATTGCACTTGCTTTATCTTCAGTAGTACCTACGCCTTCATCATAACAAAGTCCAACATTGAATTGTCCACTTAGATTTCCACCTTCAGCAGATTTTAAGTACCATTCAAATCCCTTTTTTTCATCTTTCGAAATGCCTATGCCGTTAGAATAGCAATATCCAACATCGAATTGTCTTTCTATATCTCCACTTTCAGCAGCTTTCAAATACAACTCAAATGCTTTTTTTTTATCTACCGAAGTGCCTACGCCTTCATCATAAAACTTTCCGACAACAGACACACCCTGAGAACTTCCATTTTCAGCTGATTTTAAAACCCATTCAAATGCTTTCTTTTCATCTTTATAAATGCCTATGCCCTCGTAATAACAAAATCCAACTTTGAACTGTGCTTTAGAGTTGCCGTTTTCAGCTGATTTTAAATACCATTCAAATGCCTTATTTTTATTTTTAGAAACTCCTGTACCATCTTCATAACATTCCCCAACTTTAAATTGCCCTAGAGAACTTCCATTTTCTGCGGATTTTAAGTACCATTCAAATCCTTTTTCTTCATTCTTATGAATGCCTAAGCCATTAGAATAACACGCTCCGACGTTGAATTGTCCTTCGGAATCTCCATTTTCAGCTGATTTTAAATACCACTTAAATGCTTTCTTTTTATCTATAGAAGTGCCCATACCATACAAATAATGAGTTCCAAGATATGATTGTCCCCTTGAATTTCCGCCTTTAGCGGATTTTAGGCACCATTTAAAAGATTTTGTCTCATCTTTGGAAATTCCTTTACCCATTAGATAGCAATATCCAACATTATATTGTCCATCAGAATTTCCGCCTTCCGCAGATTTTAAATACCATTCAAATGCTTTCTTTTCATCTTTAGAAGTACCTATACCATTAGAATAGCAATCTCCGACTTTGAATTGCCCAGCAAAGTTTCTATTTTCCGCTGATTTTAAATACCATTTAAATGCCTCTTTTGTATCTTTAGGAATACCTATGCCTTT